TATGAGTATTCACTGCTATGAATTTCCCTTGTAAGACTGCTTTCATTGTGTCCCATAGATTCTGATATGTTGTATTGTCATTGTCATTTAATTGTAGGAACTGTCTGATTTCTTCTTTCATTTCCTCTGTGACCCACTGGTTATTCAGAAGTGTGTTATTCAATTTCCTTATGTTTATGAAATTCTTGCACTTTCTTTTGCTATTGATCTCCAATTTCATCACACTATGGTCTGATAATACACAGGGGATAACTTCAGTTCCTTTGCACTTACTTAAACATGTTCTATGGTCTAATTTGGAGAACAACTCGTGTGCAAATGAAAAGAATGTGTATTCTGATTTGTGGGGTGGAGCACTCTGCAAACATCTTTTAAATTCATTTGTTCAAGAGTTTGATTGAGTTCTAGTATTTCTTTACTTATTTTTTGTCTAGTTGATCTATCTATTTGTGAGAGTGGGGTATTGAGGTCCCCCACTACTATTGTATTAGTGCTTATTTAATTTTTTATGTCTGTTAGTATTTGTTTTATATAGTTGGGTGCATTAGTGTTTGGTGCATAGATATTTGTGATTGTCATCTCTTCCTCTTGGATTGTTCCCTTTACAAGGATGTAGTGTCCTTCTTTGTCTTACTTAATCAGTGTTGGTTTGAAATGCATTTGATCTTCAAAGAAGATAGCTACTCCTGCTTTTTTTTCAGGTTCCTGTTGCATGGAGTTTTGTTTTCCACCCTTTAACTTTCTGTGAAGTTTTTTTTTTTTTTGGTACCAGAGATTGAACTCTGGACCTTGAGCTTGTGAGGCAGGTGCAGGAAGCACTAAGCTAAATCCCTGGCCCTGTGAGTTTTTTGAATTAAGTGTGTTTCTTTTATGCAGCATATTGTTGGCTCTTGCTTCTTGGCCCATTCTACTAGTCTATTTCTTTTGATTGGTGAATTGAGACCATTAATATTGATGGTTATAACTGATATGTATTGACTTATCATTGTCATGACTTTTTCTTTTTGTTGGATTCTCCCCCTTTGCTTTAATTTCTTGTCATGTCTGATGGATTCATTCCTGAGGCTTCCTGGGATTATGATCCTCATTGTTTTTTCCTAGGATATTGTCTAAAACTTTTTTGGAGTGCTGGTTTGGTATTCATGAAGTTCCTAAGGTGTTCTTTGTCATGAAAGTATCTTATGTCTCCATCAATTTTGAAAGATAATTTTGCAGGGTACATCAATCTGGCTTGGAGGCTGTTTTCCTTTAGGACTTGAAATACATCACTCCAAGATCTTCTTGCATTGGGGGTTTGCACTGAGAAATCTGCTGTGATTCTAATGGGCTTTCCTTTGTATGTGATTTGTTTCCTTTCTCTAACTGCTTATAGAATTTTGTTCTTCTTTTGGGTTTCTGGAATCTTAACTACAATATGCCTATGAGTAGATTTTTTTATCAAGGCTAGTTGGAGTCCTATGTGACTCATTTATCTGTATACTCTACCACAATGTTTTTATTCTTTTTTTTTTTTGGTACTGGGGATCGAACTCAGGTCCTTCTGCTTGCAAGGCAGGCACCAGAACCACTAAGCTAAATCCCCGGCCCATGCCTCATTTATCTGTATGTCAAGTTCTTTTCCCCTGCTTGTGAAGTTTTCTGCCATTACTTCTCTGAACAGTTTTTTTTATGTTGTCTGCACTCTCTCCTGTTTCTTCATTGACTCTGATCACTCTTGTTATTCTTCTTTGCATCATCTAGCAGCTGCTGGATTGATTTCTTGTAGTCCCTTACTATTTTAAAGAGACTGTTCTTTTTCTGGTCACTAATTGCAATCTTATCTTCTATATCTGAAATTATGTCCTCATATGGGCTCATTCTGCTGTGTAAACTCTCAGTGGAGTTTTTAATCTCCTGGAAATCTGTTTGCATCTGTTTTATGGATTCCATTTGTTTCCTATGTTGGGATTCCATCATGTTTCTCAGCTTCTCTATTTTTTTTATCTGTGTCCTCTCTAGATTTATTAATCATATCTTGCACCATGGGCACAATCTCTGCTGTTATGTGAGAAATTATTTCTGATTTTATTTTTTCCAGATCCTCTTTTGTTACCAGTTCAGGGAGTCTGGGTGGTTGAGAATCAGATTGTTCTATCTCATTTCCTTTTGGGGTTACTTTAGGTTATTTGAAGTCTGGTTTTGAGATTTGTTTATGTGTCTTCTCATTTCAACAGGGGTGGGTGTGTGTGTGCTGCTGGTGCCTGCATGGCTCACCTCCTCGGCACTTGGGGCAGCTCTGCTCCTCTGACAGCTTCAGTATTCTGAGGTGGGGCAGTGGCATGGCAACCCAGAAGGCACACCTCCTCCTCGGTGCTGGGGGCAGCTCTGTCCTCAGGCTTCACCATTTGTAAAGTAGTGATCAAAATATTACTATTCAGTTACCAACAAAGACACAGCTGCAAAATTATAGAGTTGTGGTTTTCCAAAACTAAGCACTTGTCTGAGTCTGTCTACCATCTGAGAAAAGAAGATTCACAAAATAATTCATACTTCATAGCACATTTCCATATAATATAATGGATGCTATCCTACTTCCTTGCTTTTCATATCATCTTTATTTAGTATTTACTTTATGAGACTAGCAAAAATGGTTTCCAAACAGCTCTAAATTTAAGAAAATTTTAACTAGTTGAAGATGATTTAAATTAGCTATCTTTGCCTGAGTTCTTTGCAAAAGAAAAGCCTGACACAAGACAGTTTATTTTGGGTACTGATTGGAAGGAATGGGTGTACAGATAGGTAGATTGAAACAGGAAGGGTCAAGGGAACCAATTCAAAGGTCCCTTATTGTTCTGGGCACTAATGTGGAGCCTTCCTCCTCCTAGGAGTCTTTGAGCTGCCTTTGGGCCTGAGCTTTGGTGTTTCTTCTCAAAGGATGCTGGAGGGGAGTATTTGTTCCTCAACTTCTATTATTTCCCTCTAGGGTTCTCACTCCCACTTCCAGTGTGTGCATGAATCAGAATGGCTGACCAGGCTTTTGCAAGGTCAGCAACAAGCTCAAAGAAACCACATGTCAGAATGCAAGATTTCCTGATGCAGCTGAAGGAAGGGGCTGATGTGTCACAAGTACACCAGAGTTTGTAGCTTGGCTGGAGACAAAAGGCAGGCTGAGGCTTTAACAAAGAGCATAAGAAGTGATCTGCACAGCATGTAATACTCACATTTTACTTCTCCATCCTCCTATGCACCATAAGTTAAGTTAGTACAACTACAACAGTCCTCCAACATCCACGTCGGCTGTGCCTCTGTCGTATGATAAGTTCTATCTGTTTAGTGGTTGTAAACAAGCCACTTTAGTGCATTTGTCAGCGAACAAGAGAACACAGGCAATTTCTCCTACCTCTACTGGCCAGAGAGCAATAAATGTAGGTCCACAGAAGAGAAGTAAGTCTTCAGAAAGAGGGTGATGCCCAAGAGGGATTTCAAATAGGAGTTTTCAAAGAAAGAAAGCAAGAAGGAAGAATAAGTGGCCTAAGAATAATCATGCAAGTTGAAGAGGTCTGAATATACACCATAAAATGTGAGGACTTTCAAGGGGTTGAAATAAAAATACAAAGTGTGATAAAACTATACAATGAAGATTTAATTTTTTTAAACTTATTGCAGTAAAAGATACATAGCTATTAATCCCCCCAAAACACCCTCTTATGTTGAACATACTTATTGTTCTTGCCACTTTCTGAAGCTGTCCTGCAAGTTGTTTTTACAAAGTGTGATCAAAAATATGGTGAATGTTGTTTCCCATTGCCATTCAATAGAAAGGTAGCCTCATAAAAGCATTACAATGTGTCCTCATCCACACTGGTCACCAGGTCTGGCACCCTGGGACTTCTGACTCTTTCCCAAAGTCATCATAACCATGAAAGGTAGAAGTTTTGAATCAGTTCAGGACATCAAGGCAGCCATTGCAGCACAACTAAAGATATTCACGAAAGAGAACTGCCAGAACTGCTTCAGAAAGTTGCAAGACCAATGTGATAAGTATGTTTGAAGCAAGTGAAATTATTTTGAAGGGGGATTACTGACAATGTGTCTTTTTCAATTTTATAACTTTTAACTGAAACATATTATTTGATCACACCACATATGTGTGGGAAAATGGGCATCCATGAGGCTGGGTGAAGAGGTAGGCATGAAACCCTGGATCCCACCCTAAGCATTTTGATCTTCATCTTCCATCAGCAGAGGAATAGGAAAGTTGTAAGTAAGGTACAAAGTTTTTCAGTTTTCTTTTAAGAAAGATAACTGATAACATCATGGATTTTAGATCATCTGAAAGGAATTTCAGAGGCAAATTAAAGTTTGTATATCTTGATGATGCCAAAATTAAAACAATTCAGCTCTGTCAAACATTTCAAACCATAGAAGACACAATAACCTGCTTTTCTGTAAATGTACAGGACAATGTGGCTAAATTTAACACAGGACTAAATGAAAACCATAACAAACTTCCATCAAAGCATAGACTTTTGGGAGAGTGTAGGTCTGCTATTTATTATTTAATGTTCACAGTGCTTTTCAGTGCAAGCCTAGAAATAATTTAAACCACTGGTCACTTCCCAGGCCTTTCATTTCTATGCAGCAACATGATAACTCAGGAAGACAAATGCCAGGACTCAACCCTGAAACTGAGGCTCTTCCCACCCTCTTGTGAAGAAAATCGGTCATTTTGGCTTCTTGTTGAAAATATGAATAATGAGCCTCCAATAAACACAGTTGACTTACTCAACTTAAATTCTAAACTAAAAGAAATTAATAATTAATTCTTAGATCCTCATATGAATTTATGAGCCAAATACAAGAGGCAGAGGGATATCAATGGAGAAATAAGAAGATATGACACTCTGATACAAGTGAGGGCCAAAACAAATGAAAGGTTGAAAGGACCAAAGACCTCAGTTTCCACATTTTCTAGAAAAGATGTCCCAGGTTCCACTTCTCCACACTGCCTGCAATGACTAGTGTTGATGCTGGGCAGCTAGGAAGATGACCCATCTCTACCAAGGCCATAGAGAACCATAAGCCTTGCTCAAATCCCTCCCCCTCCTCTAGCCAAAGCTTTCATCTGTTCTGGAGGGATGATCCACTTGGGTAGTCTGGGACAGCCTAGGGGGCTCCTTTGCTTTAAGTATATTTTATTTCTGACACATAATAAGCACATATATTTACGGAGTACAATGTCACATTTTAATATGTATGTACAATGTGTATCGATCAGATTAAGGAAACTGAAAAATCTACCACCTCAGACATTTGACATTTCTTTGTGCTGGGAACGTTTGAGATCTTCCAAATTAGCTATTTTTGAAATATTCAATCAATTATTGCCAACTACTGTGCTACAGAAAGTTAGAGGTTATTTGCCCTATACAACTGCACCCCTGCACACATTTACTGTCTTGTCTCCATCTTTTCTTCCCCCAAACCCTTCCCAGGCTCTGGTAACCAGTATTGTACTTTATTCTCTGCTTATATGAGATCAACTTTTTCCATCTGGATATAAGTGAGAACATGTAATATTTGTCTTTTAATGCCTGACTTATTTCACTTAACATGATGTCCTCCACTGCTGTCCATGTTGCTTTTTATGGCTAAACAGTAGTGTTCTATTGTGTGTACAAGTTATATACCATGTTTTCTTTATGCATACATTCACTGGACACCTAAGTTGACTATATCCTGGATATCGTGGCTAGTGCTGCAATAAAGATGCAAGTACAGATGCCTTTTTGACATACTGATATTAATGACTTTGGGGCCAGGGATTTAGCTCAGGGGTTTTGCCTCCTGCCTTGCAAGCGCAAGGTCTGAGTTCAATCCTTGGTACCAAAAAAAAAAAAAAAGGGAAAAATAACTTTGAATATATACTCAGTAGTGGGATTGCTAGATCATACAATAGTTCTACCCTAGGTTGTTGAGGAATCTCTATACTGCTTTCCATAATGACTCTACTAATTTGCACCTCCACTAGCAATACAGTTTTCCTTTCTCCAGTCCTCACTGGAATCTGCTATTGTTTTGCCCTTTGATGCCATTCTAATTGTGGTTGGATAATAATTCTTTGTGATCTTGATTTTCATATCTTTGATGATTAGTGATGCTGAGCATTTTTCACATAGATGTTGGGCACTGGTACATCCTCTTTTGAGAATTATCTATGTCATTTGTCAGGATCCCTTTTCTATTTTTGTTTCTCAAACAATAATGAATTTGAATACATAAAGAAATATATTGGTCTATAATTACTGTATTATCCAAATATTCAAAAAGTTTCATGATATACTAGTTTCATGATATATTGCTTTCTTAGCAATACACTAAATGTCCAGATCTAACGGTGAGTATGATAGCTAGCATAATTTAATATACTGTAGTGATGAACACAGATTAAATTTTGTAGTATCTGCAACACTGTGAGATGACATAAAAATATTAATAGTTCATACTGGTGGTGACAAATTCATTGACTGCTAATATTGTTATTGTTTATTTATTGACTAATAATGGATGCATATAGAGCCCAGGGATATACCTTAGTCATAGACTACTTGTTTAGCATGCATAAAGCTCTGGGTTCAATCCCCAGCACCACAAAATCAATGTCATTGATCATATGCTGAGTTCAGTGAGTGGAACTAAATATGTAACTTATGAATTCCCAGTTAAGTCTTCCAGTCACACTTCCAAAGGTGCAGCCTCTGTGTTTCCATTTCCTGAGGCGGAAAAAGAAAAGAAAAGCCAATTTAAATGAATTCTTCATACCCCCATAACATACACACTGTATTTTTTACATCATTTGACTGAAACTATGCATAATAACTGAAAGCTATAATGAATCTATAGGTACTTAGAAATATTTGATTTTTATAAATCACAACACCGTCTGCATGTATTTGACCTATAACAGTGTCCTTATGCCCATATATGTAAGACTTTGTATTTGTTCCATCCACAGACAACTAAGCACACAAGAATTTGGGAGGCTGGTTTTTTTTATCATAACTGTTTTGAAAAACAATGCAAAGTATATGTGCTGCCGAAGCGAGCACAAGAATACAATGCAAAGTACAAGCTATGGGCTGTAGTTCCTCTCCATATCCCTGAACAAATTAACTCAATTTTCTTATCTGTAAAATGGGCATTTAAAAAATATTGACTTAATAACATTACTGAGACTTAATAACATTACTGGAATGGGCTCAAGAAGTGTTTTTCTAAACTATAGGTCAAGAACCATTTAGAGGACATAAAGTCCATTAGCATTTCATGACCAATAACTTTTTAATGAAAATTAGAATAAAATAGGAAATACCAAAGTGTCACACACGGTAAACACAAATACTATTTTCTGCAACATTGATTACAGATATATATGTGTAACTTAGTGTTGTTTTACAGAATGGATGAATGAATTTTTCTAGGATAGGTCATAAATTATTTTAAATACTGAAATGAAACGTGTGAAGTATGTAACAAAGAGCACAGCACATGGCAAGCTACTGTGAATAATGACAGCATCACCGGCACCCAGGGTCGGAGTGACAGGTGGGGACCACTCCTCTAACAAAGCTTCTTAGTGGTCTGTCTCACTAGGAATGTGTGGGACCAGCATTTGCAATGCACCCTAATCCTGCCAGGAGGAGAGAATAAAGACATAACTAGAAAAATAGGGTAGCATTTGGTTTGGCTGCCATCTCTGTTTGCTACTGGCCATGTGACCTTACACAAGTCCCTTAACTGTCCTGAACCCCAGCTCCTCAGTGAGGGTTGGGTTGCCATGAGGGTTAAATTAGTTAAAGGTGTAAAGTGCTTACTATGTGTGGCACACAGTAAGCACTGAGTAAATGCTAGTGGTCGTTGTGTTGCTATTATTACGACTCACCCAAGAATAGACAGATCAGCAAATAAAGACCAATTTTCTGCTTCCTCCCTTAGTTTCCAAGGATTTTTATCTTTTGTTGCTATTCCTGCAGGAAAACAAAATAGTTTTTTTTAAAAAAACTATTTTAAAATAGAAGCTTGCAAACAACTGTATCTCATGAATCCTTTCTATATTCATCTTTTTTGAAATCTAAGGCATTTTCCAAGGTAACATTTCATTTTTCTGTCTTGGGTAGCTGGCAGAGGGTTGTGTATATACAAATCCTCCCCCTGTACCTAAGTATTAATCAGGAGATGCAAAGATGCTAAGCCCATCTTTGTAGATCCTTTCATTCTTGCTTCAGCTTGGAAAATACTGCATGGAATTGATACAATTCATGCAAAAGGTGTTGGGTTTTTCCCATATTCACAGATCCCTCTGCTCCTGAATTGAATTTGGGATTTGCTACACAGAGCCCAATCCCCTGACATTGCCTGGTAACCATCTGGATGAAAATAGGCTTTCTGGATGACCGCTGAGTTCCTAAATCACATTACGCTTTTGTCAAGTCACGCAGCAGGTAAACAGTGGAATAATTTAGAACCTCAACATCAGGGGAAATCATGAGCTAGGGAAAGAAATTAGCCTCTCCAAAGTTGCATTTCTTTTCTTGGCCTTCCCCTTGCCCTAGAGGTATCTTTTAAAATTAAAAAGCTTCACCTATACGTAGATTCACCAACCAGTCCGACTGGGTCCCACCAGCTTGGAATGCCACCTGCCCTGGCACCCAGCAAATCCCTGTACTCCGAGTCTCCCTGGAGTCTTCTGAGACCAGCATTTCTGATCCAAAATAAATCCATGGCCTGGCCTGGGGGCCAGACAGAATCTGGAGAGAATAAAATAACAGCAATCAAAAGCAGATCCCAAAGGACCAGACGATAGCATAGATGGTTTTCCCCAGCTTTTTAATATGAAAACGTTCTGAAAATGAAATTTGGTAGACTAGTACAAGAAACATCTCTAAAGCCACCACATAGACTCAAAACTCATTCATATTTTGGGCATTTTGCTTTATCTACCTACATTTCCATTCACATGTGTGTCTTTTATCTTGACATTTGACCCCCAAATATCCTGGTATCTGTCTTCTCAAAGTAAGGATATTCCCCCATATGACCTCAATACAATTATCATGCCTAACAAATTAAGAATAATTCCCTAGCCAGACATGATGGCAATGCCTGTAATCTCAGCATCTGTGTAGGAGGATCACAAGTTCAAGTCTATTCTGGGCAATTTAGTGACTTGCTGAGATTTAGAAAGGGCTGAGGATGTAGCTCAGTGTGAAGGCGCAGGACTCAATCCCCAGTACAGGAAAAACAAAAAAGGAATAATTCTATAATACCATCTAATGTTAGTCCATATTCCAATCTCTAAGAATTCAAGCATTATGATCAACTGCTATAATTAGTCCCTTTTAATAAAGACCTTTTATTTCAATTATATTATTCTTTGTTTGTTTGTTTGGGATTTTGTTTTATTTTTGGCAGTGCTGGGGATAGAACCCATGGCCTTACACATACCAGGCAAGCATTTTACCACTGAGTGACTCCCCCAGCCCAATGATGTTCCTTGACTTTTGCATGCATGCAAGCCAGATGTCTTATTTATAGAATGTCCCACCACTGAGTTGTGATTGGAAGGGGCAGGAGAGGAGAGCAGTACCCAGCATTGGAAATGAGGGAGAGTGAACATGACTTTCCGTCTCAGTGGAAGACCAAGTCTACTTGGCCCTACACAATGTACCCACCCCACTTCTCAGGCCCCCAGGAACTCCCCACAGCCACACCAGCCTTCTTCCTGCTCTCCACATCCTAAGCATCGGCCCAGCTTGAGATCCCACATCATCTCCCCATGCCCTTCTTGGGATGCTTTTCTCTTCCATGTATCAACATGGCTGCCCTCCCTTCTTGCAGGCTTTTCCTTGACTACCATATGAACAATTGCAAACCACTCTCCCCACCTTATCTTTATTTCATGGCATTTTGCACCTCCCAGATTTCCATATACTGTACTGTATCTTCTTTCTTTTGGTGGTTGCTTATCTCATCCCCTGGGAAGGTACAAATCAGATGAAAACAAGGTAACAAATCATATAAAAACCCCAGGGACAGAGTTTTCATGTGATTTGTTACCTACCATATCTCCAGCACCTATACTTGTGCCTGATTCCATTCAATTAATGCATATTCGTTTAAACCCACTACTGAGCTCCTGGCCCTGCAGAAAAGCAATGTACCAGGTGTACCCCTCAGAGCTGATGTGATGTGGCTATCCAGCCCCTGCTGCCCCAAGCTTGTGGTACAGCACTGCCTAGCATGGAAAATGACTCTCAGAAGCAGGGGTGAGGCCCTGGCGCTGCCCAGGGTCATTCTTCAGCCCCATATTTGCTCAGGGCTGAGCTCTCACTGTTGCTATCCTGTCATCAGCACCCTCATAATCCCCACAGCTGCCTCTGCAGATCTCTGACAAATCACCTGGGCCTAAAAAGGCCTCCATGTCCCTAAAAACTTTCTCTCCCCTCTCCCCATAGAGTCATTTCAGCTTCTCTAGTCACCTTCTCTGCCACCTGTGCTCCTGAAGCCATGGCGCTGATCTTTCTAAAAAGCAAACATGGCCATGCCGGTCCTGTTCAAAATCCTTTGGCACCTTTTCCTCCTCAGGATAAAACTCAGTGAGAACTGAGCCCGATGCATGCACAAGATTTCTCAGCTGGCTCCACTTTCCCAGTCCCTGTCCCCTGCCACTCCCCACCCCAAGCTTGACAATACTAAATTGTGTCTACAAGTTTCTAGAATATCCCTGCTCCTCATACCTTGCACTAACTCTTTCTGTTCTATCATGCACCCCAGTGTACACCATCAGCCTTAGTTGGCAGTCCTGGAAAACTTCTACTCCTCCTTCAAGGTTCCAGTCAAATGCCACCTCCCCTTGGAAAAGTTCTCAGCTCCCCTCTAATCACACAGGGCACTTGGTTGAAAATGAAAACAGTTTAACAAGAATCCCATCACCAGTATTAGCTCTCAACCTGGTCCTTGAATGCATGAAGAGCCTTGGTTCTTTTCATCTTCATAGCCACAGAGTCCTTGGCAAAATGCCAGGTGTTTAACAAATTTGGATGGTTTGGTCTAAGTAGCAATTTTGCCTTGGGTAGAGCTGTTTGTCGAGGGCCCTCTGGATCAGACTTAGTGACCCTGATTGTCTCTGTTCTGATTTTATGGCTCAAGCCTAGAGTTAATGGTAAATGTCCTCATTGTTTTGGTTTGCTAAAACATCGTGCAAACCCAACATCAGGCGGCTGTTTCACTGGCCACAAACAATTCTGCATTCCAGAGCAGGCTGACCCCGTATCCAGATTGTTTGTTTGCTTTTCACTAACAAAGAAACTCTCACTGAAGGCACTGAAACTTAAACCACATTCACTGCTCCAGCTTGCTCTCCCTCATGCAAATATGTGTGTGTGTGAGAGAGAGACAGACAGAGACAGAGGAGGAAAGATAATCAGAGGGAGGCATAGAATTAGCCTGGCCCTGTATTCCCACCCAGCTCATGTTGCCTCTACCCAATGGGGGACTGAATAATGCCCAGGGATTTGGCACCAGATCCTAAGATACTTGGTGGCATCAGGAGACTGACTGGACCGACCCCCTTTTGCAGAAGTAGACAAACACATCTTTGCCAACTCTCCCCTCCACTTTCTTTTCATTTTATTAGGAAACATTCTCTTTTCATTCACCCGAGTCCAGACAACAGGATATGCCTAACATTCTGGTCAAGGTCAGAACTCACAGTGAAATGGCATCATCAGGATTTTTCTCAGGAGGTGATCTGATTTTCTACAGCCTAAGAATCTTATACATTGTGAATATGCTTTCTGTCAATGTCCACTTGTGACCTATGATCTGTCCAGATGTCTGCAAAATCACTCTGTGTTACTATTTACAAATTTTTACCTATTCTTTGTCCTCATTTTTTTTAAATCCACAATTTAAATTTAAATATGAAAAAATTCCCAGTTTTGCATAGTGCAGGGGTCCAGGGTCCGGAAGCAGTCTCGGGGAGTCCACGTACTCATGCTGAGAGTTTCTACCGCACAGATGAAGGTGAGTAAGCATTTCTCTTGGATTCTGAGGTTCCTCCCCCGGCTGTTAACATTGTTTCTGTTTGTCTGGTTTGAACTGAGTCCAGCTGACTGTCCTCCAAGTTCCAGTTTGGGTCAGATCTCAGGAGACAGCTTGTCTGCATGCTTAAAAAACAAATATCTGTACGAGTATCCACCCCAACCTGGAATCGGGCAGATCATTGATGCCTGCTGACCTTGCCCAGGGTCCCATGCAGGGTGGATGGAAGCAAATGGCATATGTGGTAATCTCTCCATCTGAGCTTGCTGGCACCTTAACAAGAAGCCCTGCTCACAAATGGCAGGGCTGCCCATCCTGCTTCCCTCTTGCACAATCAGGTGGTCTGACCAGGCGCCTGCGTCATCTTCATTTTTTCCCCTATTTACTCAGAAGTCTCTTCTGGTGGCCTCAAAGCACTTGTGACCATCCACTATTATTTAGTGAGCATTTTATGGGCCCGATCCTGACACATTCCCAGAAAGACACCACAGAATCAGAACAGGGGTTCCACTTGCAAGGATTTTATAACCCAGAGGTGGAGACCAAACATAAGGAGTTAAATGTGGAACACAAGTATCTGATTATTGTATTGTACATATACTGTACATTGTATGGGTTTTTTGAGCAATAGATTTTTCTACAAACAGGTGAGATCATCTTCAAATGAACGTTTATGATGTTAAAGGGGTGGGAGTGAAGTAGGATTTAATTCAGTGCTTTAAATAATCTACATTTAAAACATTTTGAAATTGAATAAAAGTTACTTCAAACATGTTTTACTGACCCACAGTCTGACTTTTAATTAGTGAGAAATTCCTCATCAATTTATCATTATAAATTTATGTTTAAACATTTAAGAGCATAGCATATTCTGTCTCTTTCTCTCTCTCCCCACACACACGCAAACACAAACACACAGGCACACACACTCTCTCTGTTTTTCCTTTCTACTATAGCTTCTCAGCCTTTTGGCTAAGATCAAGTGTTTTTCCTTTCTACCAGGAGCAAATTGTAATGCTAATCTCTAACACTGATGTAACAAGGGTATTTGGCAATTGACACATTTGGTATATTAACTTTTGCATGATTTACATTTCTAATTATTGTCTTTGCTCTGTAGTATAAGTAGTAAAGTTGCAGGTGGGCATAGATAAAAGGGTTGGGCATTGGTAAAAGGAGGCACAGACTTGAATCTGCTCCCTTCAAGGACTTGGAAAAAGATAACCTTTATCTCATGGGGATTTCTAGGGGGAAAGGACAGAGGGACATGCTATGTCAAGCACAGCTGTTTTTAGCTACCTGGTGGGCTTTTTGGAACTAAATGGGTACAGTGTAAGTCATTAAGAACATAACTCTTTGCTTGATGCACCAATAAGTACTTATTAGTTGACTGTATTATCTTTAAGGTTGAAGTCATGCTCTCAAATCATCTGTAGGCCATGATAACCCCGACACCTGCAATGGGACCACTTAATCAGTCAGGTAAGCTCCAGTTTATAATTACTTAGCAGAGGTTTAAGTTCAGAGGGACATTTTCTGACAGAGGGTATGGGAGAAAATGCCATCTGAAGAGCTCATGAGTGAGCCTGGAAGGCTAGGTACAACCTGGGGACCAGAGAAACCAGATCTGATTTCTCTCCTGGAAACTCTGAGACATGTAGTGGAAAGCCCCCAGGTTTGCCAGTCAGCAGGTTCAAATTCCTGG